TTATTTCCTTCCTTTTAGTAACATAGGTCTTTGTTTTTTCTTCTAATTCCTTAAGGCATGAAGTTAGTTTTTTTTATTTGAGCTCTTCCTTCATTTCTTAATGTGGACATTTATTACTGTGAACTTCTCTATTAGAACTGCTTTTGCTGTATATCATAAGTTTTGGTATGCTGTATTTCTATATCCATTTTCCTCAGGGTATTTTTTTTTAATGGAGAAAAAGAAAGTTTATATTGATAAGAGGTAATACCCAAAATGAAGAAATTAGAGGTACAAACTTTTATGTGATGAACACTATAGCATGAGAATATTTTAAAGAATATTCTATTTAACTTGAGAGATAGAGTTTAGTAATTTATTAGTTGCATATAAGCCTTCAAGGTATTTTTTTTATTTCTCTTTTGATTTCTTCTTTGACCCATTGGTTGTTTAATGATGTTGTTTAATCTTCATATGCTTGTGAATTTTCCAAATTTCTTTAATAATTTCTAGTTTCATACTGTTGTGGTCAGAGATGATATTTGGTATGATTTCATTCTTTTAAATTGATTAAGACTTGTTTTGTGGTCTAACATATCTATTCTGAGGAATGTTGTGCACATGCTTGAGAATAACATGTATTCTGTTGCTTTTGGTTGGAACATATACAGTCTGTTAAGTCCATCTGTTCTAATGTTTTGTTTAAGGACTATGTTTCCTTAATGATTTTCTGTCTGTATTATCTATCCATTAATAAAAATCGGGTATTCCCCTCCTATTTTTATATTATTGTTTATTTTTCCCTTTAGGTCTATTAATGTTTGCTTAAGAGACTAATATTTGCTAATAGGTAGATGTTCCTATATTGATGCATATTTACAAATACTATATCCTCTTATTGAATTGACCCCTTTATCATTATACAATGACTTTGTCTCTTATTAAGATCTTTGTCTTAACATCTTTTTTGTCTGATAGAAGTGTAGCTACCCCACCTTCATTTTGGTTAACATTTGCAGGGACTATCTTGCTGGATTCCTTCACCTTTAGTCTGTGTGTCTTTAGAGCTGAAGTGAGCCTCTTGTAGGCAGCAAGTAGATGAGTCTTGTTTCTTTATTCATTTAGCCACTCTGTCTTTTGATTGGAGAATTTGTTACATTTATATTTAAGGTAATTATTGATAGGAATGTACATAATTACCAGTTTGTTAGTTTTCTGGCTGTTTTGTGATTCCTTTGTTCCTTTCTTATGTTCTTGCTTTCTTTGTGATTTGATGATTTTCTGCAGTGTGGTTAGATTCATTTCTCATTATCTTATGTATCTATTATAGGTTTTTGTATCTACTGTAGGTTTTCACTTTGCAGTTACCGTGAAGCTTACATAGAACAACCTATATTTATAATCTATTTTTTTAAGGATTTATTCATGAGAGAAACAGTGAGAAAGGCAGAGACATAGGCAGAAGGAGAAGCAGGCTCCCTCTGGGGAGCCTGAGGCATGACTCAATCTCAGGACTCTGGGATCACAACCTTGCCAAAGGCAGACACTCAACCACTGAGCCACCCAGGTGCCCCAATAATAGTCTATTTTAAGCTTCAGTTGGGATGCATTCTAAAGCTCTATATTTTTATTCTCCTCCCTAATCACATTTATGTTTTTGAAGTCACAAATTACATATTTTTATCTTGTGGATTCATTAACAGATTTTGGAAGTTTTGTCTTTTAACCTTCACACCAGATATATAAGTTATTTACCCACTATCTTTACAGCATTATATTATCCTGAATTCTACAAATCCTTAACAGTGAGATTTATACGTTTATTTTCCTGTTATTAAGTAGTGCCCTTTCATTTCAGCTTATTGAAGTCCCTTTAACATTTCTTGTAAGACCACTCTAATGACACTGAATTCCTTTAGTTTTTGCTTATGTGGAGAACTGTTCATCTCTCCTTCAGTTCTGAAGGATAACTTTGCCAGGTAGAGTATTCTTGATTGACAGTTTTTTTTTTTTCCCTTTCAGCTCTTTAAACATATTATGCCATTCCCTATTGGCCTGGAAAAGGTTTGCTGAAAAATCTGCTTATATAGTCCTATGGGGTTTCCCTTGTAGGTAATAAGTTGTTTTTCTCTTGCTACTTTTAAGATTCTTTCCTTGTCTTTGACAATCTAATATTGTGCATTTTGATGTGGCCCTCTTTAGGTTCTTTTTATTTGGAAGTCTCTGAACTTCCTGGATCTGGATGTCTTTTTTTTTTTCCCCTGGGTTAGGAAAATTTCCTGCCGTGATTTTTTTTCAAATGTTTTCTGCCCCTTTCTCTATTGTCCTTCTGGGACCCTTATAGTGCAAATGTTAGTCTGTTTGATGTTCTCCTATAAGTCTCTTAAGTTATCTTCACTTTTTTTCATTCTTTATCTTTTTGCTGCTCTGATGAGATTAATTACACTGTCCTGTCTTCAAGTTCACTGAACCTTTCTTCTTCTTCCCCTACTCAGCTGTTGAACCCCCTTGTTGTACTTTTCAGTCTACTTACTGTATTCTTCATCACCATGATGCCATTTGGTACTTTGTTATATTTTCTGTCTCTTTGTTGAAATTTTCACTTTGTTCATTCATTCTTCTTCTGAGCTTGGTGAGCATCTTTATGACCATTATTTTGAACTCTTTATCAGGTAAATCACTTACCTGATTTTAAAAAATCATTTATCAGGTAGATCTCTTTTTTCTGAGATTTTATTTTACTCTTTTGTTTGGAGAACATTCCTCTGTTCCTTCATTTTCTTTGCCTCTCTGTACTAATTTCTATGCATTACCTAAAAGATACCTCTCCTAGTCTTGAAAGAGTGACCTCATGTAGGAGATGATCTTTATTGTTTAACACTGCTCTAGCTCTTGGTTATTTCTAAAACCTTTATGACTATCCAAGTAATCTTCTTTGTGGCTCCCAATAATTGAGGGTGTCCCAGACTATTATTGTCCCAAAGGGGGTGGATCTAGGTATCTAGATGCAGGCTCATTGGAAGCTGGCTCCTTAGGTCGAAGCTTTTAAAATATGCAAATATATCTCTTCTAGAGGAAAACCAGGAGATAGACATTTCTGGTTTTTTTGTGCTAAGCCTTGGAGTACTAGCTATGTAAGAATGATTTCTTTGTTTGCTACGAACCCATTGATCCTGTGAATACAAGTCCTGCTGGCCATCAGAGCCAGGCTGCCAAGGGATGTGTCTTCTGGGCAGAGCTACAAGATCTAGGGCACTAGATCTGTGCACAAGCTCCTTTCTTGTCAACTAGAGTGAAGCAGATGGAGAGCATAAAGCTTGCTCCCACCAGCTTCCCAGTCTCTGGAGAAGATTGCAGTCAGCCCCTTGATGTATATTAAATTAGAAACCAGCTTCTTAGTCATAGCTAGTAAGACAAATGAATTGGCCTCTTTTACAGAATGATGTCATTTAAGTACACTGCTTCTATGCTGTGCCATGGTAGAGGAGAGGACAGCTGGTTAAGCAGTTTTTGTTTGTTGTCCCATAGGACCCATGAGCATAAGTCGCACTGGCCACCAGAGCCATGCCTTCATGGGGTATTCCCTCGGCAGCAGCCACAAAACTAAGGTGCCAAACACACCTTTAAAAGCTCCTTTCTGGGATGCCTGGGTGGCTCAGTGGTTGAGCATCTGCCTTTGGCTCAGGGTGTGATCCCGGTCTGGGGATTGAGTCTGCATCTGGCTCCCTCTGAGGAGCCTGCTTCTTCCTCTATGTCTCTGCCTCTCTGTGTCTCTCATGAATAAATAAATCATTAAAAAACAAAAACAAAAACAAAACAAAACAGGCTCCTTTCTGAGGGATATCAGAAACCTGGAGTGAGGCAGAGGGCAAGTTTAAATATGATGCCTACCTTCCTCTCCAGCCTCCAGAGAATATCACAGTCAGCTCCTTGATGTGCATTAAATTAGAAGCCTGCCCCTAGCCTGCAGCTACTAAGATAAGCAAAGAGACCTCTTTAATGGAAAGGCTAGGTGTTTCTATCTGTTGCCTCTGTGCTGTGTCTGGGGGAGGGGATATTGACTGAACTTATAAAGGAGGGAATAAGCAGGAGAGCTCTGAGGTAATAGGAGATGAACATAGTTGGAGTGGAGGAGGTTTCTGGAAGGCAGTGGAATGTAGGTGGAAAGACCATGGAAGTCACCAAAGGTGTTAACATTTGATAAAATAGATAAGATGAAAACAGGAAAATAATTTGAGCAGCAAGGGTAGGTCTTGATTAGATAAGTATCTCAACCATCAGCCAGTTGAAATATTCTTCTTTTGGGAAGGTCACCAGTTCCAAAATGGAAATACTCTAGTTAAAAGGTCATGGGAAAGTGGAGAACATACAGAATCTTACCTGCCCTCCTGTTTCCTCAGAATACCCAAGGCTCTGTAGAGCACAGTTGAGAAACACTATCTTACTAGATTTCCTTTCTCTATCCCATGCCTGGATTGCAATGGAAGCAATGAGAATGTACACACCAACATCCCCACAACTCATAGAATTTTCCAATCTCTGCTGATGCCCACACCAGAATTCCAGAAAACTTACCTTTTCTATAGTTTCATTATCCAAGGCCAAGAGTCAGTTAGAAAGTTCAAGGGAAGAGTTGATTAGTGAGAGAGAGGGACTGGTTTCTAATTTTGCACATGCAGCTTTGGTAACAATGGTACTTCATTCCTACTGAGAAACCACAGGCAGGTGTAGCTTGGTTAGGATAGGAGGACTGCTGACCGAATTGAAACTAGTGGCTTTAACTTCTATTTCAGCAAAGGTGATTGAGTTCTGTGGCGGATAAGGAGCAATGGCTGTTAGTACTCAGAGCTGTGCTACTTTCTCAAAACTTGGGATGAGTAAAGTTAGACTCATTTTTCAAATCACAACTCAGATATATTGTTTAATAAAGTTTCCTAACTCTTATTTTCTCATGAGGCAACTCCCAATATAGACTTCTGGGTCATTCAAATCGCCTTCATATACATATCTATGCATTTCAGGTAGAGGAAGACAAGGCAAATCTGAGCAGGATGCAGACTCTGATGGATAAACTTCAGCTACAAGTACAAAGTTACAAGCAGCAAATGGAGGCAGCAGTAAGTACTTGGGGCTGCTGTCATCTTACAGGTTTCCTAGCCATTGTTTTTGATCAATGGAGATAGGTAAGCACTTTGTCTAGAGAGGACCAGCCCAGCTTAAAGTCTGTTCATTCTCTAGTTTTTTCTCAAATGAGAATTATCACCCATGCTCAGAAATTTTGCTACTTTCCCACTCCAGGGAGCCAGAGCTTTTACCCTCACATTGTGGTTACACTCAAATCTGTGCACTGCAAGAAATGAGTCAAGTAAGAATATGGTGTGATATAGGGATGGTGAATTTTTGGTCAGGCAGCCACCCTGGGGCCTTCCTCACCTCAGAACCTTGGGTGAGCATAAATGTGGCTCATAGTCCTTTTTCCTGATGAGCCTGGACATGACTATGGCCCAGACTACCAACACATTTGAAATGTACTTGCCCACCTTGGGTTTATAGCCATAGCTACATAGCATGTAATTCATTAGTGCCATATACATTGGCTTATGCCTAATATCTCTTTGGGATTTTGAATTATTTCAAAGATTCAGGCTAAAACACTGCTATGTCTAAAAATTACCTGTCGTATAATTTTTCAAGATAAACCTCCCTCAAAGGTAAACTAGGATGTTTAACTGATTATAAAACAACTGTGGTTTTTCTTACATGTAACATGCCTGTGAGAGCCATACTATATCCAATTAGTGGAACATCCTAAGCAGATTCTAAATCTCCAGAGAACAATGGTTCTAAAAATGAATCTAATGTCTGTTAGAAAGTCTGAATCCTTATATATCAGACCAAAATATATTCCACTCAATACTCAGAAGTTTAGATTCCTTTCACACATTTTTCAACTTTTTCATGTCAAAGCAGAAAAAAAATGACTATGCAGGCACGGATATTTTTTCTTTTTTTATTTTTATAGGAAGCACAAGCCAATCAATATCTTTCCAAGTATAAGAAGCAGCAACATGAATTGAACGAAGCTAAGGAAAGGGCAGAGATAGCAGAATCTCAAGTCAATAAACTCAAGATCAAAGCAAAGGAGTTTAGAAAAAAGGTATGTCAGATATTCAACTCTGTTGTAATTCTTAAAGCATGTGTGTTTTAGGGCTTGTGTCATCACACAGAGCAATAGAACAAGAAATTTGTTTTTTCTCTTTATTTGTTAAAAGACTTTAAAGTAGGTTCTGCTAAGGTCTTCCAATATTTACTAAATTTTTAGTGTCCAGGTAATATGAAGTGGTAAGCATTTGAGTGGAATGTATATTGTATTTATACTTCTCAAATGCTTAGTTCCAGGTGCACTTGTGGGCTCCGAGCTCCAGATCCTGGATTCATTTGTGCAGAACAGTCAGGAGTCCAGAGAGCAAAGATGATTTAAAAAGCACAGATGGATCTGCTTGAAACTAAGTGAAGTCCTTCTATGTAGACAAATACATGACTTCATACTGTATCAGTATGGAGGGAGACCTGGGTGGTGAGGTTTAAACTTGAGGCAGTGGAGAATAAAGGCACTTGTCCTTTCTAGCTTTCTGCTTAATCCCTAAAACAGGGGGAAAGATATTTCCATATCTGTGGTTCTCAACACTTCTATTCTGATCCCAGGGTAGGGGCTGCTCCCTTAAGTTTTTTACTAGCAAAGTGGCAGCATGACAAGACCACTGAATTATAGTCTTGTCAAGATCAGTGTCTATTCAGGGTGCTATAATAGAACACCAGAGACTGGGTGGCTTATAAATAACAAACATCTCCCATAGTTCTGGAGGCTGGAAAGTCCAGGATCATGATGCTAGCAGATTCAGTATCTGGTGAGGGCCACTTCTTCAGAGACAGCCTTTTTTTCCACTGTGCACTCACATAGTAAAAGGGGTGGGGTGGGGGGAAGAAGCCCTTTTTAAAAGGCAGAAATCCTATTCATAAGAACTCTTTCCTCATGACTTAAAGGCCCCACTTCCTAACACCATCTACGGAGATTGAGATTTCAACATATAAATTTGGGAGTTTTCCAAAAATAGTCAGCCTTAGCTTTCTTACTGAGATTTCCCACAAACGCAGTTTTTAAATGAGGTCTGGCTTTCAGAGAAATGAATTAAATGATATTGGATAATGTGACATTAGCTGCCCTTCATGAAATGCATATAAAGCATTTAGCACAGATGCCTAGCACAGATAGGCACCATTTCATTTTTTAAAAATTTGGTACATGCCTGGTCCTCTTATTTAAAACGAATTACTAATAACTCTGCAAGACAAGTAGATAGGGTTGTCCATAATACACAATACCTGAAAGGAGGTCAAAATAAGCTCTTTTGAAGGAGAATCTAAAAGTTGGTTATATTGAATATATTTAGATCTAAATATGAGAAGCATGAGTCATTGGCACACTCCAGAGATTTCTTGTTGCTGCCTGAATATTGTCTCAGGGATAAAGCCCTATGTGCAGAGGTCCAGTTAAGTGGTTTGAACTCTGCCCTCAATTTGAGAAGGGTCATGGCACTGGATTTGGGGTTTTTGAGGCAGAGCCTGCCCATCAACTCCATATAATAGTTTTGTTTAGGGAAATGCCTCACATGTGCTACGCTTGCACTCAGCTGGAGGAGGTCAAAAGGGCTGCAAAACATATGTAATGTATTCGACTTTGTCACAGTTATTTCCAACAAAGAATAAAATGAATGAAGCAGAAATTGCTTGAGAGGTCCGAGATGAATAGGAAAACCATCCTTGGTAGTGCAATGACTAATTGTTTCCCATTCTCAGAAGGAAAGCCTGAAAATCTTTCAATTGTCATAAACCAAGTGAAAAGGTTTTCTGATAGAACTGGGGTGGGGGGGTCTGTCTGGGCCATGGAGCCAATTGGTGATGTGGCCACAGTCTTTCCCACAAAAGATGTGGGGTCTTTTGTAGAGGGCCTTGCCTTCTCCAGCAAGGCTAGGCAGGCAGAAAATTAAGAATGCCCAAGCATGTCCTTCAGATGAATTACCTGTGTCTGCTTCCTGTAATGCACGTGATTGCCTCAATTCCCTGCATCCCTTTGAAGCTAATGAGGAGTTTGGCTAAGGCCTGCTTACTCTGGAAAGGACTAGACTTGGTTCTAGGTGTGTTTTCCACTAATGAAAGTCACAGAATCTCAGAGCACACTCATTCTGTTTTTCAGGCTCATGAAGAAGAATAAGAAGTCCCTGCTTATGAAGGATGGAGGCTGGACAAGGATGGTACCATTTAATGACGGAAAACTTAGGTTGCACTTGAAACAAGCATTTAAAAAAATGTTTATGTGGTGTGGAAAGTAGTTTAAGCAAGGTGATTAGAAGATATAATAGAGTATCTTTGCTTCCAAGGTTAATGGGGATTTTTCAGACCCTCAAATATAAGTAGTTTATGTAAAATATTAAATAATGTAAGAAGTGTTTAAATTCTTAAGTTAAAAAAATGAATACCTATTCTTTTGTCCATATTGCCTCTTAATGAGTAATATTTATAGAAGACATGAGGCCTAGGGTATGTTGTAAATTGTTATTACTAAAGTTAATGAATTTTGCTTGACTCATCCATTCAGGAGTCTGTGTTTTTAGCCACTAATGGTAGGAGTTGATCAGCTTTCATCCTAGCACTGTGGTGTACATATAGTCACAAGCACTTAGAATTTATAGATTAAATCCTCCTAGTCTACACCTGGGTTGGTCAGGTGTTATGAAAAGCTATGTTAGTGTAGCTTTTCAACACTGAAGCAACTTCTCATACAAGACACTCCATTCAGTGATAGATAGGATATTGGCTTTGTATTGTGCCAATGTATCTAAGCAGGAGGTACATTTCCTTTTTCTGTGTGCTTCTGGATTAGAGTTGGTCACAAGGGAAATTTTCACCAGATTTGAGAGGGAGAAGTGAAGGAGCAATTGTCTACTTTATGCTGTGAAGGCCAGAGTATGGCCCCACTGTCATAGCTGACAAATGTTACCCCAGTTCAAGAAAGTGAGTTAGCAGTAAGGCTCCCTCCTTCAGCTTCGAGTCCTGCCTAGGTGTGCTTGGTTCCATGGTACTGGATGCCAGCTTCTCTAGCAGGTCACCCCTAGCGTTGCCTAGGAATACGAGTCCTAGTTTGTTCTTACAGATTTCAGTTCATCCTCACTCCATATCCAGCTCTCTATACTGAACACTGGCACAGCTGACTTCCAGCTACTTCAGGTCCAGCCCCAGCTGCAGAGGGGACAGCCTGACATAGACTTCTTCACAAGTGCCCAAAATTATATGAGGTTGATGCTATATAATAAATCTTTATTCCCTGTCATTCTCAGCACTCTGCCTCTCTGACCCCAACCCTAACTCCTACAGATGGCTCTAAGATTAATTCAGAGGCTCAACAGCATTGAAAGACCCAGGTTCATTCTTATCTACTATCTTCAAATTGTTGACTTTGGTCTTTCCATTTTGTAAGACGACTATATAGCAGTTCTGAGCATTTTCTCCTCACAATTGAAGTTTTTTTGTTTTTGTTTTTTTTAATAATGATATCAACACTTTACAGTTTATGCTAAATACCTGTCAACATTATAGCAAATACTTAGAGAAAATCGGACCAGGTAGCATTAACAAACAGTTCGAGGTTGGTCTTCTATAAACTATAGGGTCAAAGCTTAAGTCACTAAGATCGTGGTTAGCCTTTTCTTTCTTATACATTGATTAAAAGGGAAGAGATCATCAAGTCAGCTGGGCTATCCATTCTCTCTTTGTGTAAAAATTTATATGGAAATCTAAATTTATTATAAGGCTGATTAACAATATATGACAACAGAGCCAGAAAAATGAATCAAATCATCTCCAGAGCTAATGTCACTTGGCTGTGCAAACCTGGTGTTGGAAGGTACAACCTAACCCCAGAGATGTCAGTTGTTGAGTTGATAGGGCCTTTTGCTCTAGGCAGTCTTGGAGATACTGACATTTTACACTTTGGAGTCCCTAAGACTCACTATATTAAATCTAGTTTGTTACACTGCTATTAACTATTCATATAAAGCTGGAGTACAATACCTTAGCATATCAATTGCCCCAGTTTTACACCTTTTCACTAAGGTGATTTCTGCTTTTGTGTTCTCTCACCTTTCATTACCTGATTAGATTTTTGAATCAGTACTTAAGGATACATTTCTTCCAAGATCTTGGTGGGAACCTCACTGTGGCCTCCTAGAATGCTGGTGGGAGGAGTGTCACTGAATGAGAGAGTTCTTTTCTAAGTTTGATTGGCATCCAGAAATTCATCATCTTGATGCAGGTAGGGAGTCAGTGAGTAATGATTAGGACTTGAAGAGTAAATGTGATGGCAGGACAGACAATGGTTGCAAGTCTTTCCAATGGTAGAATTATTAGGACATGACAAGCCATGGCTGGAAGTGCAGTGAAGAAAGGGAAAGAGAGGTCACTAAATATTAAAGATGCTCATCATGCGTTGACATAGTCCTGTCTTAATTTCCTGTAGTAGCTGGCTGAGCTGAAATAGCCTAGAACCAAGAAAAATGGACTTGAAATGGCTATGGTTCATGCAGGAATAATCATTTTTATCTTAAGTGTTAAATAACAGTGTTTTGTTTTGGGAGGGGGGATATTTAGAGCTATTGTTTGCATCTGTAATCAGATCTATAAGACAGTTATAGTTATGAAGTCTAAATTTCCCTTCTGGTGTTTAACCAATAGGAAAAACAAGTTTACTCAACTCTTTGCTTTTATTTATATTCTTATTAATTAAAATCATAATAAAAGGTATGCAACAAAATATTTTAACTCCATTTTAAATTGAATTTGCAATCAAACTATAACTTGTAAGTGAATTATTAGTGCCCAAGGAGTTTAGAAATGGCTGGAAAATTATGAAAGGCCAGCCATCTGAATCTGCGCAGAAACTGTAATCTGCTTTTCTCCATTTTGTGTTTTTTTTTTTCTGCTTCCATTGAAAGAATAAGTACAGTGGTGCACCATCATATGCATAGTACCATTGGAGATCTTCTCTACAAATAATGATAGGAAATGAGAAGGGCAGCCCCTTATTTAAGTAGAACCTATTAATAGACATTGGAAAAAGCTCAAATTGTATCCCCCACCCTGTTATGTTATCCTATGATCTCTCTTACCCCTTTTCTCCCTTCTATAAAAGTCTTGCATGAGGATGTGTGAATCAATTACTTTGATACAGTAGCATTCTTATGCTATAGATGGTTTGATAAAGGAAAGGCTTTACCTGGTTTTCTTCAGCACCAGCAGTGTTGGCCCTCTCAGTATGGACAGAGCACCTTTCTATAGGAAAAGAGAGAAACTTTGCAAAGAGATTTTTTTCTAACACTCAAATTCTTTTATTCCTACCTCAGCACTATTATGCTATTAGACTCAGCTTAGTTACTCCCCCTTTCATATCTTTCTTCCAACAAACAGCCTTAAAAATGCATTCAGTGTAGAAATACCTCATCAGCTACAAATAGCAATAAATTCTTATGGCTGATTCAGGTGCATCAGACCAGGGATAAAGGCTGTTCAACCAGGCCAGGAATTCCTGGCTCTTTAGGATTGTTGGCCTGAGTCCTATTAACTGTTAGCAATGGAAAAATAACAGCCAAGGAGGTGATGGTTAAGCCCAGCAATGGTGAAGGCAAAGGGGTTGTTACAATGCCATTTTCTAAGGAAGGCCTTACTTTTGTGCCTCACTAAAATCTAGGATAATTTATACTTATCCTAGACTAAGGGTATTTTACAACAATTCTTGAAAAAGGAATTTAAAGAAGAAAATGCGTACCATTGTCATATGAAACTACAACCAAGGGCATGGTGATAGGCAAGGTTTGGGGGCCTTTAACAGCTTGAAAAATAATTTCAGCCTACCTAACTACAGAACTATAGAGCTTTATTTTATTTTTTTTTTTTAAGTAGCGAATACCCTAACATTGTTTTTGCTGATATCTCCTCCAGAATCAATCCAGCCTGCTGTCCCTGACCTGGAGGGCTTCCTTCTACAAGCTAGGTCTTCCCTCTGGCTTCTAGCTGGGGCGGAGAGCAGAGAGAGGAAGGGTCAAAATCACATATTTATTCTCCCAGCATCTTCCTTGTAAGGTCACCTTGGTCTGGCTGTGTCCTTCAAGTAAAAGTTACTCTCCCTACAAGGCATCTGATTTTATAAGACTCTCTTCTTCAGGGTTTTGTAAAAGTACACCCTCTCCTTGTCTTTTTAAGTTTAGATTTTGCTAACAAATCAGCTGCTCCAAGCTCTGGAGAAATGAACTATCCTCTGTGCTCCCCTGTGTACAGTTTTGAGTGTGTCAGTCGTTTTCTGTTGGGACTTGACTTTTGCACACATCCGGTATAGAAACTAAACTGTCATTCTGGAGCCATACGTAGTGTCCTATAATTTGAACCTGAATCTAGTCACAAGTATCATTATATGAGGTCAGAGGTTGCTAAAGGGCACAAACTAGCCTTGCCTATGATTGCCCATCTTTTTCTACTTTTGGCCAGATAAGGGACAGGAGGAACAAGTAATAAGTAAGGCTAGCCTACCTATCAGTACAAAATCACAGTGTAAAATTGGTAAAATGCTTGCTCACTGTCACATTTAATATCTTACCTTCAATAAAGTTGTCTGTTAGGACCAAATCCCCTAATCTCATCAGGAGCAAAAAGGCAATTATCAATCAGAGGAAGGGTCAATTTCAACCTCCCAGGACACTCAGTCTTCTCAGACAAATTATGGAATAAGAGAGAGCTGCTTGGGATCTAGATCTACCTCTGCCACTAGTTAGCTGGATCACCCTAAGTGGTATACATAAATCTGTTTTATGCCCCTAATTTCTTGTATTCCAGTTTCCTGGTCTATAAGATGTAGAAATAAGTAGATCTAAGTTTTTCCTAGATCTAATTCTGTCAATAAAGCCAAGAAGTCCTGTAACCATGACATCTTAATGTATCATTTTAAATTACCATAAGTAATTACTATAAGTAATCCAAGTTTGTTGCAGAAAATCTAGAAAAAGTATTTTTAAAAATGTAACAAGGATTTAAAAAAAAAGCCCCATAAAAGACAGAGCAGTAGCACTATAGACAAAGCTCAAAGAAAGAGAAAACAGAGTGCAGGCACTAAAGCAAGTCTAGACATGGGGACAAACGCTTTCCAAAGGCATCCATTTTTAGTTTGAGCTTATTTCTTTCCAGCTGTTTTTCAATGCAAAATAATTTTGATAATTCTGTGTATTATTTTATTGCCAGATTTAAATTTTTTCAGTCTGCTGCAATACATGTGCTTATACAACTTTGACCATTTAACTCAGAATAAATTTGTTAGAAATATAGTTAGCTAGAAATGTGGGATCGTTTTAAAGGATTTCTGATAGATTTTACAAATGGCGTTCCAGAAAATTCAGACCTGTTTACATGCCCAACAGCCGTGTAGGGTTAGCTACAGGTCATCCTTGATACACTCTACCCAAACACCCAGGGACAGAGCTCAATTCTCCATGAGATACCTACCTCTCCTGGAATGGTATCTTTTTGACATATAGAATATGCAAATTGCCAGCAAAACCAAAGTCACCAATGACAGAACAATTATCCAGGCAGTTCCACTTTGACTCTGTTCTAAATGAAACAAAAAGTCTATCAGCTGGAAGAAAAATTACCGAAGAACACTTTTACTATTTTAAAAACTAGTTATTTCTGCATTAATGAGCATAAATACAGCCCAGTCTCAATGTCTTTACTCTGGGAAACCTGCATAAGCTGGAATCTTAGCCAGTTTGGGGCTCGGTCTGTAGAAGGCTGGTGTGGGGGAGAAAAAGGCTGCAAACTTGAAAGTCAATGAGTCTATTATGCATAGTGAGTCTCTATTGTTTTCTATTGTAAAGAGAGTTAACACACTGTGACAAAGGAATAATTTTGACTACAGACTAACCTCAGCCTAGCATTCTCCTTGGAGGATGAAGGGAGAGCTGAGTGCACCCTTGGCTTGGAGAAGACAGGGCCATAAAGGTACAAGGATCAGTGCAGAGGAAATGAGTGAAACAGAGAAGTCCTCATCTTGAGCAAGAAGTGACAGGCAAACACCACGAAAATGGTGCTTGATGCTCCTCAGAATCACTGGAGGAACCAAGGTTTTTCCAGCATCTTTGTTGGAACTGTAATTGTAATTAGTATTAAAGGAAGTAGGACCCCAGGAGGCAGAAACTTGGGAGACCTTGAGTCCTCAAGCCAGAACCTGCTAATCTTGTGATTTACATTCTGCATAGAGTAGGAGCAAGCATTAGAGCACACAGGCCAATTCGAGGTGAAAAGGTGTTTATAGCTATTTTAAATGAAAAGCTCTATATGACAGATGTCTATTTTTATGAACATACTCTTCACTAATAAAGAAGTGTTCTGTAACCACTAAAACATTAATCTCTACATATATTTGTGCCATTCTGAAATTGTATACCTACGTAAAGAGTGAGCAATTCAAGTAAAAATGTTGACTTTTGAAGTGTTTTCATATGCATATTTTTCCTCCTGAAGAAAATCGTGCAAGGTATAGAATTTTCTTAATTTATTCATGACCCCCACTTCCCCCCACCACAAAGAGATTTGCCCAACATCACATAAGTGATTCAACAGCAAAATTTAGCAAGAATTATTCAGTTCCATGCAACCTTTATCAAGTAGATCCAGATTCTAGGAATCCTAACTCCCCCCCGCCCCCGCCGCCAGGCTGGGCTTCCTTTTCAAATGTTACAGCATATCCTGGCAAAACAACAAGTAGAAAATTATGATTCAGAATAGAAAACCAAATTTCTTTGAAAGAGTAATGTCTAGGATATTAGTGTTTGCCCTCTTTTCTGCCCTGCTTGGGTAACTCCTGCTACACGCCTCTTCCTGAGGGGAAGTGTGGGCAGACCCTCCTCCAGTCTCAACGGGCCAGGGTTTACTTGGGGATGGGAGGTTCTAAAAAGCTGCTTTTGTCGGAGATGGAATGTCCTGATGCTTTGTGTTTTGTGTAAACTAAAAATGAAATCCCTGGTTAGAAAGATGGGTCATATGTGGTCTTTAGAGCATATCTTCCAGGGTTTTTTTCCTACTCTCCAAAGAAAATCCAACATGAGGCAACATTTGAAAAGTGGAATGTAAGCTTATCTATGTTTTATATAAAACTAACATTCTCATTTGGGAGAAAAATAGGAGCTGCAAATGCACCCCAGTTTTCAGCACTCTCATAATGACAGCTCTACACAAAGGGAGTATCATCCCTCAGTGTCTAGAAGCTGCTATTTGAAGACCACTTGACCTTGACCTCAAGACAACAAGGTGTTCTTATCTCCAAATCTTACTACATAGAATCACTAAACCTCCAAATCTGTTATTCCTCCTAATTTTCACAACTAGAATGATAGAAACGTTTTTAAAACCTATGTTTCATTGACTCAAATATCTTTGTCCCATGATATTAAATTGATAGCTTAAGGGTAAAAGGATCAAACAGCCCACCTAGAAAGTCGACTCCATGGGTACACATGCCATGACTCTATAGAGAATGGACTAGAGATATTTTAAAGAGTTTTGGCAGTTAGCTATCACTAGAGGTAAAAAAAAAAATGAGCTAAATCAGGTGTACACTTAGTGCTTCCGATGTCCTTTGGTGATTGTTTCCACGAAATTCACAGACCATGCTTCCCCAGCATCTTCCAGAGCCCCAATTCTAACTTCTCACTGTGCCTGAAGCCTCAACTCCCCAAACCCCAGGCCCAAAAGCACATGTTAGGCACAGCAGTAAGCAGGAATTCAAGATGCTTAGGCTACAGAGTCACCAAATCATGTAGGTTCCCTCTTTGTTTCTGATGCCCTGAAATCATGAAAAAGAAATCTTATGAGAGTAATTTTTTTTTCCAATGCAGGACTTTTGTGTATCTGAAAGAAAGAGACTGTCTGTCGTCTTGACCAAAAGTATCCCTATAGATGACATTTGCAGAAATACTAATAAAAATTATTCTTTAAATGCCAACCTATTTTCCCTGTTTGATATTCACAATCTCTATTGCTATAGCCAAAACCAATTATCCAACTCTACTTGTATCTTACCTACTACATGCAGCGTTTGGATGGTGAGTAAGCTATATTTGCTTGAAGAAATATTGCATTAAGTATTCCCCATTGTCTGAAAGACTAAGATCCTTCAAAGTCAAAGAAAAGTCACTCCGGTTTATTTGCTCTTTATTCCAGGAGATGCAGCGTTCATACATAGTTATATTTCATGAGGAGCTCTGAAAGTAAGCCAGGATGGAGGAGGTCTCTTTTTCTACTTTAGACCAACTGGCTATGAAATCATGATTCAGTCAAAAAAAAAAAAAATACTGTTTGCAAGTTCACATGATAGTGAAACATTTTCACTTTGCATTTTATGAAGGTCATCTAAAAACAGGGTAGAAAAGGAAACATCAATGAAAATACAATTTTCGAATGAATTTTCTAAGCTACACTTAGAAATGCTTTGAGAAATATCTTTGGAAATGTGTTTCTTGAAAGAAGCTGTGACACCACCATTTTAACACTGCCCAGTGATTAAGTTTAGACCTTCAAGGAGGCCTAACCCTGGGCCAGCTAGTGAGGTGACATTCCTGCTTTCTAACTCCTACAGCCTGACAGTGAGCACTCAAGAATGTTGCTACCAGTTACTAGGCTTTTGAATTCAATGTTCTTTTTTTTTATTGACCTTTCGAATGCTGGTATTCCCCAGGACCCCAACCCCCCCCCCCGCCCCGCCCCGCTCCTTGTCATTCTACTTACTCTCTAGTAGTCCCTGTTACTTGTATGGTCTCTACCTCTTAACCACTTTCTGCACAGTCTATTTTCCTGCACATTACTAATATATTTCCAACTGTACAGGTGAGCCCCCCTGGGCTGAGCTCCATTAGAGGGGGCACTCTGTTGGATTTTCTCGTCTGGCCCCTCCAGATCCAGCTCCATCTGGTTCTTCTTGTTCCGCAGTTATGGTAGCTGACCTCTGTGGATTACTGTGAATTCTTCTCCCTAAGCTCTAGACTCACTCGCTTCACACTCCACTTGCAAAAGAGTGATGCCAAAGCAAGCCACTCTAAGATGCAAGTCCAAGCCTCTCTGATGCCTCAAAAATCCTTCTTTGGCTCCATACCACCTGTGCAATTCTGATCAAGTGCCTTAACCGACATCAGGCCTTCCATATAGTTTTCCACTCCATCTCCAGGCTTATCTCTTATAACTTGAGCTTCACCCTCTACCACTTACACTTCTACAAATTCAGGCAATATTTACTCCTCTGTTCTGTTGTGTGTTTTTTTAAACTGGAATGCCTATGTTCGCTGAAAATCCTACTATTCTTTTAAACTTCTGCGCTTTTGCAGCCTCCTTAGGCATATATCCTCTAACAACCCCATTTATAGCCAACCATAGTGAACAGAATTAATTGCTCCCTTTCTATGCTGCCTTCCTAGTTTAATTTTTAAATGTTTGTACTATATGCTGTGGATCCAGAAATGAGTAAGTGTCCACATTCTTAAGTTCATAGTCTGAGAGCAACAAACTTGGCATATAATAAATACTCAACAAGACAACATAGCACTGAGCATAAGGAACCATGGATACTTCTGGATACTCAATTCTGAATAAATATGAGAAAACACGATTTTCCATAGAAAAAATTACCATTTAACATGAACATTTAATGCATTAACACTTTTCCATGTTTCTATTGCTGCCTAGACAAGTGAACACTGGGCATCCAGGCCTTCGACGCTGAAATTACATAAAGGTGATGAATTACTCATAATTTAGGGTCTTCTTGGCAAGCACTTTGAGAATATGAACCTCAGGAAAAGAGGCCAAAAAGGATAGTTGACCTCCAATTTCTCCATATAATGGGGGTTTACTAAAATATTTTGCTTTGCTTCTAAAATATAAAACATTTTTCCTTGAAATTAGATGAGATGTCAAATTAATTTTTCCTCTTAATCTTAAATGGTAGGATGTAAATGGAGAGATTGATCAAAACTTCAGGGGATCCCTGGGTGGCGCAGTGGTTTAGCGCCTGCCTTTGGCACAGGGCGTGATCCTGGAGACCCGGGATCGAATCCCACGTCAGGCTCCCTGCATGGAGCCTGCTTCTCCCTCTGCCTGTGTCTCTGTCTCTGCCTCTCTCTCTCTCTCTATGTCTATCATAAATAAATAAATCTTAAAAAAAAAACACTTCAAATAAATGAGAGGAAGGAGTGTTGAAAACTGCTCATGCTATGATTGAGTTGTTGATAAAGCTTAATGGGCTAATACTATGTAAAGAGAATAAACAGAAGCAATAATAAGAACTAATTTTTGTTTAGTTGAAAGAATGGCAACCATCACAGATTGTGACCTAATAGGCAAGCTTTCTTCTCACATCTTTTGAAATACAATGCAGGTAGGAAATCCTATTTAGAAGATGAATCATAGAGAATAATATTCATGAATAGATCTGCTACTTCCCATTTCACATATGTTTTCCTTCAACTCAAACACCTAATAGGTAGGAATTACTTCCATCTTCCCAGTGAGGAGCTTGTGCTCAGAAATAAGAATGAGTGCTTAAGGGAACATAGCCAGTAAATATTAGACATGGGACTGCAATCTCGGTCTTCTTACTGATGCAGATGCATTTTCTTTCTTTTGTGTTCCATTATTTCCCTGTAAGTCAATCTTCATTTCCTCTCAACCTCTGACATAGCACATGCACACAGCCTGACGAAGCCTACCTCTCATTGTCCATCCCCCATCCATGTTTATTCCAGCAATGAGTTTTCAATGGTACATTTATAAGATAAATTTGATTCTGTAATTTTTATCATATTATCAACATAAAAAAGACTTAAAGATTCAATTTCTCCCATATTGCTTTCAGAGATGGGTGTATTGTCCATTTTCCATGTGATAAGTGGATGAGGATAAACACTTAACATACCACACATCAAGAAGCTGTGTTCCTCTTTTCATAATCCCAGGTGTGACGAAAGCTAGAAGGGAGAGAGGAAGACATATGAGGGACTGTCATAAGCTTCTTTTTAAGCCATCTGTGCAGAACACTTATTATTTTAACATTCATGAAATGAAAAGCTGGGATCCCTGGGTGGCGCAGCGGTTTGGCGCCTGCCTTTGGCTCAGGGCGCGATCCTGGAGACCCAGGATCGAATCCCATATCGGGCTCCCGGTGCATGGAGCCTGCTTCTCCCTCTGCCTGTGTCTCTGTCTCTCTCTCTCTCTGTGTGTGTGTGTGAATATCATAAATAAATAAATAAATTTAAAAAAAAAATGAAATGAAAAGCTAAGCTTTATGAGCAAAAGTTGGCATTTACTAAAGGAAAATCAAAACAAAAGCTCTCTAGAAACTTAAGATATAGTGTGGATTACCTACAAGTTTAGGCTTACTTTCAAATGAACAAGGAAGAATTACGTCTTTACCAAGTCTTCCAAGGACTATTTGCTTTTCATCAGTACTAACAAGATTGGGGGGAGCTAAAAGGAATGTATCTAAAAAATCAAGAGCAGTTATGATGAGAATTAGTGATGGGTGCTTATCAAGGGCTCTATCAGAATAACTTAGCAGAACTATCCTGGGTCAGCAGCCTGGTCACTTACAGACCACACTTATCAAGAACCCTTGGTAGTCTGATTACTAGGAACAACCCACACAACTTGTGTTAGAATTTCTGCAACTGTATTTTATGGACACAACAGATCCCTGTTGATTTTTATTCCCTGAGCACATTCACTTCTAACATCTACTACAATAACAAATTAGTTTATCCAGCTAACTAGAGTCAGCAGGCCGACAATAATAAAACAAATTTGACTTGGTTTCATTAGGAAATATTTGGAATATGTAGAAGACAATACTGGATTCAGGAATCTGCTAGGAATATGCAGACATTAGCCTCAAGCAAGGGAGCACATGAGCAGGAGTCCAAAAAGGGGAGGTGGAGGGACTCATTTATTTTGCCTTTAGGACATCTCTCAAGATATCCTACAAGTCAACTGAAATATAGTTAAGGAATATTATTCTGGATATAAATCTAGAAGTCTAATAATCCTGAGATATATATACACATATATATTTATAATTTATATATAGTTTTTTACTATTAACTTCAGAATTTTAAAGATTTTATTTATTCCTGAGACACACAGAGAGAAGCAGACATAGGCAGAGGGAGAAGCAGGCTCCCCACAGAGAACCCGATGTGGGACTCCCCAGACAGGGATCGTGCCCTGAGCCAAAGGCAGACGCTCAACTGCTGAGCCACCCAGGTATTGTCCCTTCAGAATTTTGAAAAGCAGATGGATTCATCACAATCAAGGTTTTTGCAAAGAAAATATACTTAACCATTTCATAATCCTTGAAGGTAGCCTCCAGTTTCTTTGGCCAATTCACAAAACATTTTAAATATTGTGTACCCAATCTATGGATTTTAGAATATTAGGAGTACAAAGGATCTTATCTTACAGATGATGGAGGAAACTAGACCACCCAAGATGGGAGAATTGAGTGCCCATGTGGCCTTGTCACAGTCTTTTTCCTCCACTTCCTTCTCTGAGCCTCTTTCCACTATGCTATGTCCCACTTCTCTCCCTCAGAGGGATTTAGTTTATTTCTGTACAAAGAACTAGAGGGATGGAGTATTATAGTGAGAGAAAGACACAGAAAAGTGGGGCCGGGGTGGGGTGGGGGAGTGTTTTTTGTCAATTTCCCTAATTGCTCTACTAAACACCTCTTATATTCCCCTGGATAATTAAAAAGGCTCATCACAGGACCAAGCAAAGTGGATAATGCCTTCTGTTAAGTGTTAAGTACCAACCTTACAGTTGGAAAAAAAAAAATCAATCACCAATCAATCAAACTTGCCTTTCTAGTGATTTTATATCTGGTAGCAGGTAACAGATTAGAAAAAGCCTTAGAGTAGACAGGAGAAAATATCATTTTTAATCTTCATGCAGGACCTCCAGTCTGTTTTCCTGTTTCTCATTAAATGATCTTTTAGAAAAGTTCACAATACTATGGCTACAGAGGAAACTGCTACCTTGCATTGTGTGCTCGTCTTATCTAGTGGTACAAACAACTAATACCTGGGTGTAATTATAAAGGAACTCACCCTGAAATCCACTTAGAGATGGTACAAGAATGAGGATGACAGACAGCCCTGCCTGTGCCTTCATGTCTTGTGGAGATCATACTAGTTATAATATCAAAGACAAGCAAAATGTGCATATTACAGATTTCAAATGCAAACAAAAAAAAAACGAAAGAGTATCTGACTATAGGAGATCAGTTAAATAAACTCCACATCCACACAAATCATTCTGCAGCCATTAAAGATGATATTGTAATAGATGGTTCAATGGCATGGAAAGAAGTTCTTAATGTTATAGGAGAAAACCCAGATTACAAGGTAACATGTAAGTAGCACAGTCCCTTTGTAAAAGCACACACATTTCTGTACATCAGAGACAGACATATCACTAACTATACACTAGGATGTTAACTCTGCAGAGCAGATTTCGCATCTAAGGCAGTGCCTACTATATAGTAGATCCTGAAAAATGGCTATTGAATGAATAAAGATTTGGCATATGTTCAACAGCGGTTCTCTGGTTAACAGCTTCTTTTTTTTTTAAAGCTTTCTACAATGGAATTTGGTTTTAGTATATTAAATATTAACACCAATGATGTTGACTACGATGTTATTTATAATCACACACAAAAACAAAACAAAATCTGGAAATATATTCTCATAATACAAATCATAAGGCAGTCATTAAAATCATGGTTTACAATGAGGAGTTCAAAAAACTAAAACACATAAAATATAGATGGCAAACTACAAACTATATTATATTGTATAATTCCAAATGAGTAAAATGTAACTGATTTTCTCTGAAGATAGGAGTATAATTTTTACTTTTTAAAAAAATAGCTTGTTTAAAGAATAGCATATAATTAGTTTTAAAAACCTCTAAAAGAAAATTTTAAAGAAATCATTTGAGATCCATACTAATAAAAAGTTGTGTTATAAATTTGTTGTAGGATATAAGATTTAAGAATAATTATTCTAAAAAATACAATTAGAGTCCTTCATCACAGCAAAGTAAAACCTGATAGTGTAATTTAGAGTTTCATCTTTACCTTTTAAATACTAGAAAAAACAATTGTGCACACGGCCTTGGAAGACGGCCTTTTTTAACAGGACTATACATTTTTTATTATAGATATGTCTACATAAAAATTAGAAAAGCAACAAGAACATATTAAAATAAAATAAGCAGGGAGTGCATTTGCAATATGACAAAGTTATCACTCCAATAGCTCAGAGCAATAGATAAGATGTCTGCAAAGCAAAAACTTGTAAAATAGTATTAGCTATGAAAATAAGACCTTTATATTTTTTCCTGTTGATATATTTGCATGTATAATGTATGAAAAGATGTATCACAATGATTATTTCTGAATAGTAAGATTACAAGTAATCATTAAGCTCATTTTCTGCTATGAACATATATAAATATGTAATAACACTGTTTGCCTTTATAGGCTACTGAAAAAACAAACAAGAATTAAGCATTTTCTTTCCAAGCAATAATTAACTCAGATCCACCCTGCTTAATGTAACTTTGGGGCATTCCATGTCTACTGTCTTACTATATACGTAGATTCACTTTCTCATTCTTTATGACTCCAGTATTTGCTACCGTTTCTTGAAACTTCCAATGTTCTTTTTTCCCATCTGTTTCAGCTGAAGGTCTTACCTTCATTTATGACAATTAATTATGGACACTCCCTCCCCGCCACCCCCATACAAACAACCTATTAACAGCTGTATCTACTCTGTCTCCCCTTCTCCTCTTACATAAATCCAAACCCTTCATTTTTGGTCTGCATCCCATATTTTTTTACATTCAAGAAATCTGTCCCTGCAACTGTGTCCCCTCCTCTATTGTATCATCAGGTTCTCTCTCCACTAGATCAATCCCAAGAGTATAAATGCCCCCAATAAGTCCTATCTTAAGAACATGGAAAAAAGATCCACCATATTCTTCTCTGGTTCTTGGTTAGCTATCTGTCTATGTCTCAACTCTATTAGTTTCTTGAGAGAATTGTCTAAAGAGCCACCCCCACTTCCCCTTTACTATTTCCCTTCAATCCATTCTGGCCTCTGTGTGTGTGACATGTCATAAACACCTGTCAGTGTTTTCAAGAACTTCCGTGTTGCTAAAAACAGTAGATACAACTTTTCATCATCTTATCCAATCTCATAGCCTCCTTGAACATAATTCGTTTCCTCTTTCATGGAAGATTCTTCTCTTGTTTCCAGCCCGACTCGTTTTCCTAGTTTTTCCTTCCTCACTGCTATTCCCCCTCTGCTTGCTCAATTTATGTGGAAACAAGAAAAGTTCTCAAGTCTTATACTTTCTCTGGACTCTCTCCCTAGGTGAGTTCTTCTATTCCATGGCTCTGAATGTCATTCTTTATGTGAAGGATTCTGAAACTTCTCTATTTGAGTCAAGGTCATATATTCAATTGTTCATCTGCCCTGTTCATTTGGATGCCTTATAGGCATCACAGAATCAACATGAGCCCCTAACTTTTACCTCATTCCCTTTACCATTGCTCCCTGCCTCACTACAAACAAAACAACAAAATTACCCAGAATTACTCCCAGTCTTTTTTGTTAATGGGTTAGATAAAGCTCCATTATTTGTGTACTCTCCAACTCTACCATTACTGTCTCTTCCAAAACCACTGTCATCTCGTACCTGGATATATAAAATAAATAAATGGCTTGTTACTGCTTATAGCCCACTATCAATGCAGCAGCCAAGGGTCATATTTTTAAAATGGAGATCATTCTATGACATCCTTACTACTGAAATTCTTCCAGTGACCTCCCACCAAACTCATACCCAAATTTTTCACCCTATTCTACCAAGCCTTGCATACTCTGGCTCCTGGTCCTGCCTGTGCCTCAAGTCTCTTCCATAAAAGCCCACAACATATGTTCTAAAAAACTTGGGAACACAAATGCTCCAATTCAAGGGTCAGCATGAGCTGAAAATTAGGCCCTTAAGAACTATTTAATTCACGTCTTTTGAATAAAATGACAAATTACAGTAACCCATTTATCATCTAAGATAAAGTACTATGAATAAAAAAAAAAACATACTCAACCCCTTCTACACAAATGCTTGATTTAGCTCTGTTGAAATAATTTCAGCATTCAGCTAAGTGAGGCAGTTAATGAGTATTTGGCCCTATTTTTATGCCCAAGTTTTATTTTTAGACATTTATTTTTTTCCCCAAAAGCAGCAGAAATCTTCCACCTTGAATTAAACCGAAGTTACCCAAGTTGCAATCAGCACCCTTACAAAAGGGTTCAAATGTTAGAAGCGTCTTGTGCTGGTACATTTTGGCTGGATTCCAGATGTGGGGGAGGACACGGCAAAATGGAACACGGCAATAAGAAATCCAGATGCTAAGACTAATCAGAAGAGAAAATCGAGGCCATTCTACACGCATAAAACAAAGCACACAGAACACTACCTCTGTACCCATCTTGACAGCTACAGACCACAGTGACTACAGCCATCAGCACTAACTGTGACAATAGTGACACACTTGGTTTGTGTTCAGGCCACACTCGCAAGCCCGCCCATCAGTAACACTCAAGATTAGACCTGGCCTCATAACTGCTGGCCTAAGTATGACGGGAGCCACATCGCAAGTCAATTCTTTTTTGAAAAACAAGAATGTTTCATATCACTTGCCTCTTGCCAGTTCCATTTATGAATTCCTTCAGGAAAAGCAGCTTCCAGGGTGCTACATTCTCCTCTGCATTGTTTTTAAATTCAGTGACTTGCCATAGTGCTCCTGGCTCTGAGCCAATTCGTGAAAGTCAGAACAAAAGGAAACTCTTTGTAGCATCCTAGGGATTTCTCCTAAGCATCCACTTAGATTTTAATAGGATTGACTTTGTTAAGATAGAAAAAAAAAAAAAAAAAAGAACAAAAGAACAATTTTAGGATTACCCTCTCTTTACTCAAAAAAATCTCCCCTGATTTTTTACAACAGAAGTCTAGCACTTAAGGATTTGTACATTGGGTTGAAACTTTGATTCTCTAGGGGACTGCATGTTTCAGGCTCTGTTTGGTTTTTTTGTTGTGTTATTGTCGTTGCAGGTGAAGGAGTAGGTCTTTGTAACTGGGTTAAGCTACACACTAATATATTTTGCAGGAGGTGTAGAGGTGCAGCTGCAGGCTAGTAAAAGGGAAGGAAAAGGGGGAATTGAAACAAGGAAGAAGGGAAGGTAGATACAAGGTGGTGGTTGCCTTGGCCATAGCTTTAGAACAGAAAAAAGGGCCACTTGCTCAGGCACAGGGACAATCTCTAGGCATCTTCTACAAAACCACATCTCAGAACAGTCCATCAGAGAAAAAGAACAAAGTGAATTCATTTATGGATTTTCTCTGGGAGGCTTTAACTCCCATGTTCCTTCTAGGTGTGCACCTGGCCCCTCAGCCACAGAGGAAGCCAGAGGTCATGCCTCACAGCATGGTATCCTGAGCCTAGAAATACAGAGCCGGGGAAGCCAGCACCTCTGTGAGTTTCCCATGGAGACTCATGTCTGGATTGTGGTCTTTGCAGGTCACACTGTGGTGGGTAAAATGGTAGAGATGCTGAAGTTGCCCTCCCCAGGGATGGTGGATCAGCTGCTGATATTTCAAAATGGGGCAGTGGTGTTAAGGCAGGGGTTCTCTTTGTCCAACCAGTTGAAGGCCCAGAAAACAGGTAAAGCTAAGAAAACCTAGGAAAGCTCATAAATCGGGTCCAATAAAAACAGCTATTATAGAAATGCCACACATTTAATATCTGATATTTTGTATATTAGCAGACCATTAATCTCCTGCACGGATCCCCTGTGATATCACTTTTACTAGTTCAGGATTCGTGCACACATTGCTCTCTGCTCCTGCCACCTTTTTCAGAGATTGCCCTTAGGTGGTGACAGCTGTGATTCTGGGAGTTACACTCCTTCCCTACTCCCTGCCCCAGTGGTGGCTTCAAGGCAAGAAACATTTTGTGGTGCAGAGCCCCCACCCAGGGAATGAGGCTGAGACTTCACCTGAAGCCACATTCCTGCTTAGCTCCTTTTTCTGCCCCATCC